ATCTTCTGGAACAGAAGCAGGAGAGGGTAACACAGCATGACAACAGTTATAGCCACCAGCAGGGAGACCCACACACCTGCCCTCTGAGTGGGTGGTGGGGCACTAGCTGGGACACAACTTCTGGAAGGTGCCAGACAGGGCCAGTCTACAATCTGGAGCATGCACACAAATCAGATTTTATAAAAAAATTTAGGGATGGAGATTTAGCTCAGTGGTAGAGTTCTTGCTTAACATGTACAATGTCTTGATTCAAACCTTACAAAAGAAAATAAGAACCCTTTGATAATATCAGAGAAACTATCTGCTGTGAATAGAAGTGATTCTCAGCCACTTTCAGAAGCCACATGCCACCATGATGGCACACTGATGGATCTCAAAACTGGGCTTCCTGAACACGATCACAGTCACACTTAACTAAGAATGGCAAGCAATATTTGGATCACAAACTAGACATTAAATCTTAAACTTAAGTGAATCCAGCTACAAAACCACGTTTCACTGCCCAGGTAGCATGAGAACAGCGCAAAGCAATAGGGTACATAGCAGTCAGTTAACCTATGCTTTTTGTTTCAGCCCAGGGGATACTCTTCCTGGACTAAAGAGCAAGATGCACCAGTTGGAAATTTACTCTTTCTCTCAATCTTGTCAGTCACCTTGATCATCACAACCTCCAGGCGGTAAGCGAGGAGCTGGAAGGAGTCTGCAGGATCTCACAACAGACAGGGTCCAGAATACAGGTATGGCACACTCTGTTTGGGCTCACTCACTACCACAGCCTGCTTTGCCATCAGTTGCTGCCACTTACATCTTCATGTACCGATGCACATCTGCGGGCAGGGAGGACCCATCAAAGACAAAGTCATCCACCATCACATTCAGGGTCAACCTGGGTCGCCAGTGAGAGACAGGTTCATCCAGAGCATTAGATGGCTTCTTCTCTGCTTCTATCTGCTGCTATAAAAACAGAAATGGAAGCTATGAACCAGGGACCAGGGCCTCCCCCTGAGAACCCACTGCCTCCTAGACTGGCAAAAAAAAGCGGGAAAGGAGGCCTAATTGAGCGGTTCTAGTGACCTTGGGCTGTCAGTCCCAGACCACATCCTCCTTCCTCCCAACTGGTCCTATTAGATCATGAGGAGGCAGAACTGAAGGATGAGGGATTGGGGAGCACTGAACCAGACATAAGTGAGCAAAGAATGGTCTGAAAGGAGATAGACAGAACCAGGTATTGATTCTAAATAAAACTAAACCCAGCTACTGTCAGGAAGCAGCACCACCCTATTTCCTCCCAAACAGCTGCCACATGGCATTTCACATCCCAGGCATCAACAGCAACAGCTTGAATTTAATGTTTCCAGACACTCCACACCCATCACATATAAGATACCAGTCTGCTCCCATACTAACATCATGAAGCCTCCCCTCACTACCATTCCCCCACAAAGAGACAACGCAGGGAACAACAAACAGGAAGAGTAATTTTTTTTTTTGACAAGGATTCCCAGTGCAGATCTGGCTGACCTGGAACTCACTCTGTAGACCAGGCTGAGACCTACCTGCCCCTGCCTCCTGAGTGCTGGGATCAAAGGTGTGTGCCACCACCACCTGGCTAGGAAGAATATTTTAAATTCTGCTCCTAACCTGTAGACTATGGTTGCTTCTTGCAAAGTTGTCATAATTCTTGTTTAGTAATTTGTCTTACCTTCTACTCAACACAAACACAGGCACTGAACATTTCTTATTTTATGCCATAGGTTCATGAATGATTCCCTTGCCTGTAACAGTCATAGTTTACAATCCAGACTGGTCTGGAACTCATGGCAACCCTCCTATCTCAGTCTCAAGTACTAGGATAGCAGGAATGAGCCATTATGCTTGGTTGAATAACAGCTTTTGTGATGACTTTTTCTTTACACACAGTGTTCTACAGGTGAACAAAATATAAATAGTACCCACACCCTTCTTATAATTTTGAACTATGAGGACAAAAAGAAATGCCTAGTCATGCAGTCCTACACAGTGTGTGTACTCTGTGTGTATACAAATCATGTATGCGAGTGTGAAAGTATGCATACACACAATCACACATTCACACTCACATACATGATGACTCTCACCACAAAGTACAGATGAGCTCTGAAGCATAACTGTCCTACCAGGAAGGCATACACACTTGTCCAAAGATGCAGCAGGCCTGGAGTCAGAGAGGGAGTCTGCTAGAATGCCATGAATCACTGTCCAACACTAACCTGTTGTAGTTTATCTGCAAATCCATGGGTTATTATTTGAACCAAAGATAATTAAGTATGACAGTAGTATTCAAATTCCTTTAAGGTACCATAAGACATGCACACAAACTCTCAGAAACAACAGCTGCTAGAGTGATCTGTTACGACCCCTACCTGTGCGGCAGACTCCCCAGTGAGCAGGTTAATTTCTTCTGGCTTAGGGATCATGTAGGTAGTCAGAGGACTGATCAGGTGTACCTGTTTCCCATCATGCCAGGGCAGAATCCCAGCATGATGTAGGAAAATATATGCGTACAGCGTCCCATTGTTTCTTGTTTTCTTTGGTACAGAAACATTAACTGTCCTAAAACAGAATAGTCATTCATTTTAAACACGTACATGTTAAGTTCCATGTTTATTATGTAGCCCAGACTGTCCTCAAACTCAGGTTCTTCCAATGCTACAGCTTTCCAAGTAACTGGGATTAATGATGTACACCACCATGACATTGTTTATACACACGTGGTAGTTAGTCATCTCTTTAGACTTACACAATCTAATTTTAGCTCAGAAATACTAAAAGTGAAACCCACCTGCCTATGGCTTTTCAGAACACAACTATGTCCCAAGCACCATGAAAAGTATAGCACTCTGTCTCCATTTCAGGAGACTCAGAGGGACTTGCTTAAAAGTCACCGTGGGAAGGGCTACAAGAAGCACACAGGGCATGGAGTCTCCCAAAGCTCCTAAGCAAAGGTCTCTACCAAGGAACTGAGAGGAACTACAAATACACAGGTGCTGATTCCACAATGCTCTGTGGTGGTGTTCCTGGCGGATGTGCATTGAGGTGGAGCATAAGCACGGTTATTTCCAGGGGTACTCAGGTCTCTATAACTTCCTCCATGTTCCAAAATGAAAGTTTCACTATTTGTCGGGACAACTGACACGGGTGTGATGAACAGGAGGCAGTGTTTACCTCTGTAAAACTAGACCTAACTGCAAAGTAGGTGGCACCAGCACGTCCCACTGCATCTCAAGAGGACGGGGGTTGGTGGTAAGTGCCCTAAGATCACAGGCTAACAGCCTGGACAATGATGCAGCGGCGGGAACTGAAGACTGGCTGACTAGTGAGTCCAACGCCTGTTGGGCAATTCAGACCCTTGACTTGACGAGCACGTCATTTAAAAACTTTCATGTGAACTTTTACGAGTTAGAATCACACGTTGAATGCTAAACCGTGTTAATTCTTAAAAGTTATCTTACACAGTTGAGCACATACCATCTACTCTAATGCCAAAGGTCACTTAATTATGACCTTCTGCACAATGCTTTCCACCATCCTGCTTTTCCCTCTTATATGTAACAGGTGAACTACTTCTACTAGGTCAATCCGGGCACTACTCCTTGGGAGACTACAGGAGCTATGGCAAACCGCACTGCCACCAGACATCAGCAAACGCTACTTTCTAAGTGACAGAGGCATCGTGTGAGCCTTTCAGCTCCAGCGCTTCCCTAGGACGTCCTCACTCTGCACACAACGCCATCGATGACATGGTGGAACCCATCTCTGGCAATCTGTCCCGCATCCACACCTTTCAAATTTGGACTCCACATCGAAGTCTTCCACGTTCAAGACCAGGTCCACATTGTTCTCTGCACCAAGGCTGGACCGTGTGGTGGTGTAAACACTTAGCTGGAGAGAGGGAACAAGAGCTTAAAGCCAAAGGTCGGGACACAAACCGCATCACTGCTGGGGGAGGGGAGGCAAATCCAGGTCTACCTTCCAGGGGGAGGAAAGCCTGGGCTTGGTCAAAGTGGCCTTGTGTGGCACTGATGTGAAGAAAAGAACCTAATTGTGGCGCTCACCTATCGTGAATCCCCACTAGAACCAGGAAGTGACTTGCCGCGCAATGAAGCATCAGGGCTTAGCAGCCTGAAGCATATGGTGGGAGTACTCCCGGTGACGTCCCCTGGGATCCCGTTAGGAAAGTCGACCCCAGTTACAACCAGGGCACCACAGGGCACCGAGGGGTAACCCGAGGGCGGCAGGGTACAGACAAGCCAACCGCGGCTCTCACTGCCACCTCATCACAACACTGGACAGCGACATCAGTGGTAGGGGCCACGCTCGGGGCCCGCATCCGTCTCGGACCGGTGTCCCTAAGGTCTGGGGTAGCACCCGGCCGGGAGGCGCCCTCTCGGGCCCGCCCCCGCGCCCCTCACCTGCAGCTTGGGCCGCCGGGCCAGATAGGGCTGGATGCAGTTGGAGTCGCCCGAGCACGGACGGGTGTAGACGATACCGTACATGACCCAGCAGGTGTGCACCACGTACACCACAAACACGCCCACCACCAAGCTGGTGAAGGAGCTGCGGCCGCTCCACATGGCGCCGCCGCCTGCGGGCCAAGCGCCGCCGCCCGCGCCGGGCAGCCGGCCGCCGCTCACGGAAGAGCCGCCGCGCGCCGCCGCCGCCGCCGCGGGGAAACCAACGCGCCTCGCGCGGGCCGCCGGCCGCCCCGCATGCTCCCGCCGCCCACACCTGGAGCCGCGGGATTCGCCGGAATCGCCGGCCACCGCTTCCGGGACCCGAGCCGCCGGCGGAAGTGGGCGCGCGCGGACTTCTGGGAACCGGGCGCTCAGTCCCGCACGCGCGTCCGCACGCCGGGCGCGTCCATGACGTCGGCCTCCCGGTACCGTCCTCCCGGCGTGCCCCGCGGGGAGTCGGTGGGGCTTAGGCTCCGCAGGATATTTACTTCGGGAGTTGTCTGTTTTGTGCGATGTTCTCCTTGTTCTCGGCGCTGTGCAGCCCGGATTGTGACGGCGTGGTCCCAGGATGACGGCGGGCCTCCCAGCTCTTCTAAGTCTAGGGTAGCGTCCAAAAGTTAGGGGAAAAAAACAGAGAGGAGACTCAGGAAACTCCTAATTCTCCGGTGTGGAGTTACCATATTGGTAACATGCAATTAATTCATGATGGCCAGAACAGGTCATAAAGACTTACAGGTCCCTTGCCCCTCTTGTCAGAAGAAGGATGAGTCCTTTGGGTAATATAAACGTGGGTCCCACCTAACCTCTGCAGAGGTAGGTTCTGTCTCGAGTAGACCTATGTCTTCCCGACTTGCACACCCATTAAACATCCAGGTAAAAGCGTCTGGGCGTCATTTTTAATCTTCAGTATTTCTTGGTTGACAGTATGCACAGTTTTCTACAGAGAAGAGGCCAGTGTTGTGACATCCAAGAATGGTGGCCAATAGGGATAAGGAAGAAGCAAAACTATTTCTCCTGTTTGGGGAAGCTTTGTTGGCAGGTGGTGTTTTCCTTACTCCGTGGTGGGCGCACCCCACAAGCTCATTCCCATCGGAAAAGTTTGTGGAGGCAGGCCCCTTGAAGGTTTTGGAACTCATTGTACCGGTAGCCTTGCTCTGTGGCGGCGTTCTCATGTTTCTCATACATACGATTAGAAGCATTGTTAGACATTTTGTAAAAATGGTGCTATTAAAAAGGAAGGTTTCAGGAATTGGAGCACCTGTTTCAGCATAAGGGGTGGCACTATTCACAGCGAATTGGGCCATTTCACGTACATCATTAATCAAGAAAATGCACCACAAGCCAATCTGGTGGGGCATTTTCTCAATCGTGTCAAGTTTTCATAAAACTAGCCAGCACAATTGATCCCTACACAGCTAGTCAGACAAGGACATCACTGTTAAACCACAGCCTTTCTTCCTCATCCCCAAGATCTCATATAATATCACAGTATTAAACACTCCCACTTTCAAAATTCCCTGGCTTTAAAATTTCACACTTTGAAATTTCAGTGTCTTTAAAATACCCAAAGTCTTTCTAAAATTCCAGGGTCTCTCCAAAAATCTCTGTGAAATCCCAAAATTTCTTAACTGTGGAATCCTGTAAAATAAAAACAAGTTATATACAGTCTTACTCTACAAAGCAAGAACCAGGCAGAGTCACAATCGGATCAAAACAACCCCCAAAATTCAATGATGTGAAAAGTTCAGTGTTTGACATCTGGGACTCATGTTTTAGACGCCAAAGAATTTGCCACAGCCTACAAAGTGTCTCCAAGGCTGGGACAGCTCTACTCCATGGGTGCTGCTGTCCTTAGTGGTTTTTCCCGTGGTATTAGCATCTCCAAAATTCTGGGTCTGCGCTGCAACTGGGCTGTACTTTCACAGATAACCTCTCCTGGGATGTCTTCAGGAATGCCAACTCTGACACATAGTGCAAAGACTCAGCTATTCTCCATGATCCCTTCATACCTTCAAAACCAGTACCACCTTCAAAAGTATTAGGTACTGCCAAGTTTGGCTATCAGCAGGAAGTACAACCTTGGCCACCTCTGAAATGCTTTCTATGTGCTGACTCTGAGGAAGCACTTCTCAGAAGACATGACCTCAGTGATGCTGGTTTCTTCTTTTGAATTAATTTTATTCATTTATTTAAATCCTGATGCAGTTTCCCCTCTCTCCTCCCATCCATCTCCCACCTCCCCTCTACCCCTTCTATCCACTCTTCCTGTTTCTGTTCAGAAAGGGACAGACCTTCCATGGGTTTCAACAAAGCATGGCATATCAAGTTGAAGTAGGACTAGGGATCCTGCATGGCTAGGCCCTCTACAAATGTGTGACAGTTGTGTAGCTTGGTCTATTTGTTGGGTTCCTAGCAGTGGGTGTGGGACTGGCCCTGACACTTTGTCTGGCTTTGGGGACCTACTCCTCATACTAGATTGCCTTACCTAGCCTTAATATGAAGGGAGGAGCTTAGTCCTACCACGACTTGATATTCTGACTTCTTTTTAATCACAGCCAATTCTCAGTCCCAGATGACCAGTATGGATTATGCAACCACAGCAAAGTTTTCATTTTGAGTGATTCTTAGTTCAATGTGTCACATACATAACCCTGATAGAGTCTTGGCTTTCATCTAGAACCTTGCAGGTTAGGCTTCTATTGTCTACATTATCTGTTTTGGAATATTTGCTCAACTCTGCAAAGATGTGTTGCATTTGTTTATGTTACAGAATATTTGTTTAACTATATAAAGATATGTTGCTGTTTTACTTGGCCTACCTAAGGCACCTGATGGTTATAATAAAATGCTGAACGGCTAATAGCAAGGAAGAAGGTATAGGCAGGACTTCTGAGCAGGTAGAGTAAGGAGGAGGAGGAATTTTAGGCTTAAGAAGAAGAAAGAAAAAGAGATACCAGGGAGACACCAGGGGTCATCCACTCAGACATGGAAGATGCAGGAAAGTAGGACATACAGAATGAAAGAAAGGTAAAAATCTCTGAGGCAAAATGTAGGAAATTCCAACTACACTTATTGTCCATACTCAGAACTGCCCATTGAACTTTGAGAATTCAATGGCTTTTCTAGCCCATAGTTAAGATGCTACTATAATTCTCCTGAAAACACATGGTCAGGACTATCACAGTAATAACCCACTTATGGTACCAATTTCTTAGAGGTTTTTTTATTGTTGTGATAAACACCATGACCAAAAGCAACTTGGAGAGGGAAGGATTTATATTGCTTACACCTCCATAGTACAGTACATTAATGAAGGCAGTCAGGGCAGGAACTCAAGACAGGAACCTGGAGGCAGGAACTGAAGCAGAATCCATGGAGGATGCTGCTTTCTGGCTTACTCCTCGTGTCCTTTTCAGCCTGATTTCCTATAGCACCCAGGGCCACCTACCCAGGGATGGCATGGCCAGAGTAATCATCAATCAAGAAAATGTGCCACCGGCTTCCCTACAGAGCAATCTGGTGGAGATATTTTCTCAGTTGAGGTTACTTCTTCCCAAAAGACTCTAACTTGTGCCAAGTTGACATAAAACTAGCCGGCACATGGTTTGGGAGGGTTCACAGGGAAACTGTCTTTGTCTGAACAGGTGGGGGCAGGATTTGTGGATGCAAAGACTGTTGTGGAAGAGGGCAGGGGTGGTACTGGATCACAAACCCCTATGGGGCTGGAGCAGAATCATTGGATCCATCTGAGACCCCTGGCACTTTGTATCCTTATTAGATGAGTCTCCTCTTCAGAGTTCCTTATTCCTGTTTTTGTCTGCCTTGCAGTGATATCTGAGTCCTATGTCTCTGGAAGTCGCCATAGCTGATCTCACTGATGTAACCTAATGTATGTGAAGCCTACGATCTCTTTTCAAAATTGTCTTGCTCACAGGTTGCTCTTTCTATTTTAGTCATGCTGTGAATGGTCCTCAGTAGATTAGCGAGGTAAGGTTCTTGGGATCTACAAATTCCAGGATGCAGGGTTGCCTCAAAAATGGGATTTAGAACCCAGGAGCTCCAGGAATTCCAACCACTCCCTGAATGACTAATTTTTGGTTAGGTTACAGAACAGTTTTGGTAGATGAAATGGGCTTAGTGACACCTTTGTCACTGTCCATGTCTGCTGTCATTTGTGGGTCTCACCAAGAAAGAACACATACAGCAGCACAGATGTTCTGAGAGATTTGCCGGGGTTGGATCCTGCTGTGTGCATTTGGGGCCTGGACTGCTGTTTTCACAACCCCATAACCTGTTTGGGTCCTGCATAAAGAGGGGACTCCAGCATCAACTCCTTTGTTATGTTGACCACTGAAGCCTGGCTTCTGAGCAAGATCAGCATGTATGACAGCATTCCATATTCGCACCCTTTGGCAAGCACCAATTCTAGCAGAGCTCCTTGAATTTACCGTTTGTCCTTCAACATTCTTCACAGGGTAGAAACTTACTCCTCCATCCCCAGAAACCAATGTCTGATCCTTGCTGGTTTCCTGCCCTCTTAGCCCGTCCAGGCTCTGGTACCCTGGACAGCTGGGTATAACTGAAGGCTAGGTAGCTGTGACTGCCCAGCCATTAGGGATAATCCACATTTCCAGTACTGACTTCAACCTCATGAATACTGGCCACACTCCAGCCAACAGAGAACAAGGATGGCCAAGCATTCGTCACAGTTGAAAAGCATTTCTCTAGGCCTGGGATATCCTTGTATTTGTTCTTGTGAGAAATAACGGCTCTTAACTTCATAATAAGAATATTGGAGATGGCTCAGCAGCTAAGGTCATAGACTGTTCTTACATAGGTTCTCAGTGCCCAAGTCCAGTTCCCAAGAGATCTGATGCTTCTGGACTCTGTGGAAAACTGAACACACACACACACACACACACACAAATTAAAAATAGATATTTTTAAAAAGAGCACTAGAGAGTCAAAATAGTGAAATTGAGACATGTATTATCAGTTCTGCAGAAGCCAGAGGTCAACCCAGACAAAAGGCCAAAATGGTTGGCATACTGACTCGGTGTAAAACAGTGTTTTTTTTTCTAATTACATTTCTATTTGCCCCAGAATTTCTCATTGTCTGAATTCTTCATGGAGGCACAATCATCTGGTGTCTAGCCCTCTCCCCAAGCTCCTCATTCTGTTGCTTTAGAACACAAAGCCTTATCTAATGTACTTCCTCCTTTTCTGATATGTGGTCTCAGTCATGTGATACAGTGCCTGACTTTTCAACCCTGAGATGAGCTGAGAACACCCAGACAAGCAGATATCAACTACCAGCTACAGAAGGCAGCTAAGGCTGCTGGTCTATTTGTGGTTCTCTGACAAGCTTTAAGTGTACCTCATACTGAAAATGAATCACGGGGTTTATTTACTACATTCTCACAGATAAGAGAAGGTTCTACATATTATCAGTACATAAGAGCACGTACTGCTCTTACAGAGGATCTGAGGTAAGTTCCCAGCAATCATAACCAACACACACACACACACACACACACACACACACACACACACGTACGTGTGTGCTATATGTGCTATATTCATATTAGCAGATGATATTTTAACTTGTAAATATCTTATCAATACCATTATTTGAGGCTCCTTAGAACATTCCAGAAAACGGGTTCAGAAAAAAAATTTTTTAAACCTTTCTGGCGCCGGGCGGTGATGGCGCACGCCTTTAATCCTAGCACTCGGGAGGCAAAGGCAGGCAGATCTCTGTTAGTTCGAGGCCAGGCTGGACCGACAGCCTCCAAAACAATACAGAGAAACCCTGTCTCGTAAAACAAAACAAAACAAAAAAAACTTTTTGTATGTGTTTGGTGTGAACTCTGACAATGACACAGGTGATGATGTAGGATGACTGGGAAATTCAAGAAACTTTGTTCCTTTGTGAGATCCTGGGATGTGGTCAGAATACAAAGGGAATAGGAGTGGACTTCCCACAATGAGTGTCTCTGCAGTCTTGGGAAGGGGAGGAAAGAAAAACGGTGACAGGACAGACTCAGGCTCTGCATAGTGCTCACAGCCTTATTTGGCTCCATTGACTCAGGACTGGGACTAAATGTCAGCTATTTGGGTGAGGAAGGCATGGATGCCCTGCGGGTTTCTTGTTCGCCCAGGGCTTGCATTCCAGGCTCATTTGGTCATGTTTAATTACAGTCTTCTATTTGGGGCCAGTGCTGTAGGGAAGAAGTCTCTGTCCTTTTTTTTCAGGGGCGCTAGAGTCAGAGAGGGAGGGTGAAGGTATGGTGATGAGCAGTCGAGGCAGGCTTCTGAACATGCACATTTGAACTTCCTGATTCCACTGATGCAAACTGAATGCAGTGTGGACATTGCTGGTCCATGAGGGTCATTACCCTCATTGATGGTCCAATTCTACCGAAGGCAAATCAATGGGGTTGCCAGTGTCAGCTGTAAAACACAGTCCTGTCATTATCGTACACACAGCCAGGCCAGGCTCCCACAGATCTGTCAGTGTGATTCAAGGCTGGGGTTTATAGTTACATCAAGAAATCTGGTTTTGAGAAAATAATAGATTATATTCTCTGGAGCTCATGGGGGTGCTAAACAGCTTTTGACAGCCAACAAACTCATGGAAATGGCTCTTTGTGGCAGACATGAGGCTGCATCTGTTGCCTCATCAGACCTTCATGCTCCAAGCCGATGCCTTCCCTAAGTACCAGATTGTCCCTGACTGTCTCGGTAATTGCCCCCTTGACAAGCGCCATAATGACAGCTCTGGATCTTCTACCTCAAGACCTAGTGCTAGGGAACAGAGCCCTTCCTGAGCCAGGAAAACTTACCACAAACAGAGAAGATTATGGGTTCCTCAGACGTAGGTGTAGATACAGGCACCTAACTGCTCAGGCATATTAGAGAGAACAGCTTATTACAATGCACACCGGTGGAGCCCATCAAGAATCAATGTCAAGTGGGTGAGGAAAGATAACGGCGTGTGACAGCTTCCTGCTGAAACCAGTTCCTATAGCGATTCAGTCAGTTCATGCAGTGACCCAAGTTAGGATCAAGTCATACAGTACCGTTGAGGAAACTGAGTGAGAGAGATTTTTTTTCCCCTCTAGATATTTGGATCATGACCTTAAGGATTGGTTGAGTCAGAAAGATCTGTCCTACATAAGGATGGCACATTTCTTGGTGTGAAAAAAAAACATGGCATCTGCCTATGAATTGGGGTGCGGGACTGCCTTATGGGAAGGTCACTCTATAAGAACATCAAAACACTGAGAGTTATTCCACAATTTTAAAATTAACACACCCAAACAAATCTCAGCAAGGTACCACAAAGCTACCCACAGACTGACTCTAAAACTGTATGTGGCCTAGACCTAGACCTAGACCTAGACCTAGACCTAGACCTAGACCTAGACCTAGACCAGCCTGTGCAAAGGGAGAGTGGAACAAGGAAGGATGTCTGACAAGACTGACTTTGATACTATATTCATTACTTTGCCAAAGTAACCTGAGAGTATCTTTAAAAAGAGGAATTGTTTGTTTTGTACACAGTTTCAATCAATCATGGTGGTTAGGGAGCAGTTTGCATCCCCATAGTTAGGAAGCAGGGAAAGGGAGTAGAAGGAACTTAGTAAGATATAGGTCTGAGAACACACTCTCGGTGACCTACTACCTCCATGGAGGCCTACTTACGTATCACTTCCACCCGGTGGTGCCATCATATTGTCAATCCATCGAAGGGTTAGTCTGCTGGTCAGGTTAGATCTGTCCTGGTCTAATTGTATCTGGAAATGGGCCTCTTCCCCATCAGACACACCCAGCTGTGTGTCACTAGTTCCCTAGGTTTGTCCATTGAGTTGACAATGTGAACCATCACAATGATCTGTGACGCAGCTGCAGTAAGCAAGAAATTTTGGCATCAGTGGTGGAGCAGGCAGATGGGTCAGCAGAGCAGAGAATGAATTCAAAACCTGACCCTTGTGGGTGTAGTCAACTTGCCTTTCACTTAGGAGAAAGGCAGGCCACTGAAAGGGAGATGGGCCTCTCAATAAAGGGCAGGAAGCAAGAGATCCATAGAAAATCACAAATTAACTTCAAGTGCATGAGAGAGACCTGAAGCTAAAGTAAAGAATGACAAAGTTGCTGGAAGATAATATGAAGGAAAACCAAAAACCTTTGGGCTTTGCAGGAGCTTTTTTTTTCCAGGAAAACACATCCAAGGCACAATCCAGAAAAGAATAAGCTGGACAAATGTGCTGCTGTGTGGGGTAGTAATGGAAATCGTTTGGGCTGTAGGGCAAGAGGAGAATGTGGGAAGCCTTTGCCTTCTGTTCGGTTTTTCTGTGAACACAAACTTGTCCTGAAATATGTTTATTTTTAGAAAAGTAATGTTATAATGCACATGAATTCTTCACTTTCTCCTCTATCAGGTTCAGTGTATTTGGTTTTATGTTGAAGTCTTTGATCCATTTGTACTCAAGATTTGTACAGGGTGATAAATATGTTTTGCATTCTTCATGATACCAGGAGAACATAGCTGACAGAACCAACTAAGCAGGGCTCATAGGGGCTCACAGAGACTGTAGCAGCAATCACTGAGATTGCATGCTTCTGCACTGGGTCCTCTGCATATGTTATAGTTGCTAGATTAGTATTTTTGGAAATCTTAACAGTGGGAGTGGGGGTGTCTCCTGACTTTTTTTTTTTTTTTTGGTTTTTTCGAGACAGGGTTTCTCTGTGGCTTTGGAGGCTGTCCTGGAACTAACTTTTGTAGATCAGGCTGGTCTCAAACTCACAGAGATCCACCTGCCTCTGCCTCATGAGTGCTGAGATTAAAGGCATGCGCCACCACACCCGGCGTGTCTCTGACTCGTACGCCTGCCCTTGGAACCCTTTTCTTCCTACTGGGTTGCCTTGCCCAGTCCCAATACTAGGGTTTGTGTTTGTCTTATTGTAGCTTGTCAAGCAGTGTTTGGCTGATATCCCTGGGAGGCCTGCTATTTTCTGAAGAGAAACAGGAGGTGTGGATTTGGGGGAGAGGGAAACTCTGTGTGGGGGACCTGGGAGGAGTGGAAGGAAGGGAAACAGCATTTGGAAAGTATTGTATGAGAGAAGAATTAAAAAAATGTGTGTGAATTAAGTCACCACGAGCAAATCAAAAGCAGACATCTCCTGAACCAGCATAGCCATGGGGCAGGGACTGAAGTGCCTACTGTGACCCAGTAAAGAAATGAAATTCAGAAGGAATGCAGATCATACCCTCCTGGCTTTCTATGGGTGCAGCTGGTGGGTGTGAGGGCACAGCCAGGGTATTCTGTAGGACTCAAATCCTGCTCTGTTATTCCCGCAATGTTTGGTGAATGTGGCTCCCTCACAAGCAACAGGGAGTAATTGCCAAAACAGAGGACTGTGGGAGACCCACAGATATGACAATAGGAAGAGGCTGCATGGCTCAAAGGAACAGGAATGAGTTTTTTTCACTTTGGAAGCTGAGATCATAATGTCTCCAGCTCCCAGTTCTCTGAGAACTGAGTCTTCCTTCCCTACCTTTCTCTGGCTTCTTAGGCTGCTGGAAAGAGGTGGCATTTCTTGGCTTATGGACGCACCATACAATACCTGCCACACCCCACGTGATCTCTTAAGGTCTCTTATGAGGACATGTCAGTTCTTAGATTTAGCTTCCATCTCATTCTGACATATCTCATCTTAACTGACACATCTGCAAAGACCTCGTTTCTAAGTCAAGTGTCCTTCTAATGTCTTGGGGGGGCTTGAATTCATGGAACACCATTTCTTCAGTCTGTTGCTATCGAATAGTCACGATACAGACACACCGTGGGGGAAATCTCAGATGGTGTTGGAACACAGCTCTCACATGGGGTGTCTTGGCCAGATCTGCTCCAAGGAAAATAGAACCTTCTGTTTCTGTTCTTTTATTTTTTTAACTAATCACTTTTAAATGGTTTACCAAACTTTTCAGTACAGTACAGAGAATTCCAGCGCATTCAATATCACTTCCCCCAAAGCCAACGTCTTTCATAATCACAGTACAGGGTTCATAGCTATGACACTGATGCCAGTATGCTACTGTCTTTACTGTGCAGACTCACATATACGCCGTGGCCCAAGGTCCAATCCAGGACTTCTCACTGCTCCTCAACATCTCCTCCCGTCAGTGACCTCAGCAGGAGACATGCTCCAGGATTGGTGGTTGTCACTGAGCACCCAGAGGCCGTGCTGCCATCTTGTTTACCATCTATTACCGGGCTGGTGCCCAGGCCTCTCCATGGTGCAGTCACCACTTGTTCACTCATTTTACTTGGGGTGAGGCTTGGTGCCTAAGCAACAGGACACTGCTTATCTTATTTCTGACCACTAATATTAATGTCCCTTGATGACTCTGGCCCAAACATTATTGTACTGTTTTTTAAAGGTTCATTTATTATATATACAGTTTTCTGCCTATATGTGTTCCTGCACTGAGGAGAGGGCACCAGATCTTATTGTAGATGGTTGTGAATCACCGTGTGGTTGCTGGGAATTGAACTCAGGACCTCTGGAAAAACAGCCAGTGGGCTTAACCTCTGAGCCACCTCTCCACCCATGTTGTACTGTTTGGTGAATGACTATTCCTGGTTCCCATAACTCTTGGGTCTGGGCTTTCATGCTTTTCAGGTAGATTTTGTCCTTTGGGCTTACAGTTTTGGAGCACTGCTTTACTTGTGGGGAACAGTCGCTTTAGGGTCACCACAATGCCCCTGTCTGGAAAAAGGTGAATAAATACTTGGGTATGGGAGTACTCAGGGGCAATGGGTATCCCTGTGTCAGGTTATTTTAGGAGGTAGGATGAGACACATACTTTAGTGTCCATCCCACATGCCAGCTGGCTGTGTGTCTTTGTGCCACTTATGTTTAATTCCACAGTTCAGCCTGCTGCCTTCTCTTTCCAGGGCAATACTTGCTGTCCACATGGCAGCTTCTGGTTACAACAGGCCTCAGCACAGACAAGAGGACATGTTTGATACTGTGGTATTATCCTGATGTGTGTGTGTGTGTGTGTGTGTGTGTGTGTGTGTGTGTGTGTGTGTGTTGTGTCCAGGATCTGCATGTGCTGGGCTCTACTCCTGAGTTACGTCCACAGCCCCTGACTGTTTTGAGCCAGGGTCTAACTACATTGCCCAGACTGACTTCTCAAGCACTGAAATGACAGGGTGTGACCTCCCAGCAGCTCTTGAGCTCTTGGTGTGTTCTAGACAAGGGCCCCAAATGCACCTTTTGCATTGGTCCCCACAAATTATGTCACTCGTTCTGATTACCTATAATATGCTTGTTTGCTCCTAAGTTCTGGAACACACACAGTGATTGCAGAATTGCTTCTTCTCGTCTCTGTGCAGACCAGCTTCACAAATGAGGGCGATGCATGCACAGCTACTCCTGCCTTTCTTCTACTGCCAGCACTCTACCTCCACAAGGGCACTCAGAGACGTTCACCAACTCCTCTTACCAATGTTTGGGGACTCCCTGGTTAATATTAACCGAGTTTCTTTTGAGGATCTGTTACATTTCTGTATTACCCTTTGAGAGCACAGACGGTTGAAGAAGTGACTCTTAGCAGCCTGGTGTGTTTGGGCAGAGCCAGCCAAAAGGACAGATAGATTCAGGAGAGTCTATTTAACTTGGGCTGCATGGTCTCAAGTTCTGCCCGTTTCCTCCCTGTGCACCCCAAATAAACAATCATTCAGGGGAACTGAGAACTAGGAGTAGGTCTAGAGCAAAGTGCTGTTTGCTGCCTTCTGGTCATGGACCACAAGTAACTGATTTCCCCCTTTTGCACTTAAGTCTTTAAAATGAGTACTTTTGGAATGACAGAACTTTAAGATTTTAGATTTCATCTCCCGGTGTTCACAAAGCTTCCAGGGTGTCTGCATAACCAAAGGCTGATGACCACAGTCCAAATGTCAACTTCAAGCTCAGAGCCAGACATGGGCTTAACCATGGACCTGCAGGACTTGGTTGAGACAGTGTGCATCTGACAGGCCCATTGAGACCAAAAGCATGATTCTAAAAGGGCATTTCTGCCTTACTGATACTGTGTAAATATGTACATCATCCAAATGTAATCAAATAAAATTTTCTGTCTATTGGAAGCCTTCGTCTATATGGCAAATAACTCCAAGGAAAAAGGAGCTTAGCTCCTGGAATAAGTAAAATTATTTAAATTCTAGATAAATACCTTTGATGTTTGATACATTCAACATTGGTTCTGTGTATGAAGTTTAGTTATAAGTGGAATTTTTGCATTCACTCAGGAGAACAGCATTTTAAAAGCAAATGTAGTTTGGGGATTTTTCTTGCATACCATCTGTTTGCAGGTGTCTAACACCTGTACTGGAGACATCCCGGACTAGTGTCTCTAAGAGATGGCCTCTCCAAGAATGCTGTGCCCACCCAAGGGCTTGGGGTGCACTCTTGGGGTGGTGATTTATCCTCTATTAATTTTAGCCATTTGAGCCCCGACAGGAAAGCAGAAGTGTGCTTGTTGTTTCATCTGGACGCTGTGTGGGCGTGTGTGGCCTGAGCTTGGTATGAGATCCTATGGGATACGTTTGTGGTGTCTTTCTTCCGTTATTAGTCATTTGCGAATTTCATACAACATGTTTAGATAATAGTAATCAACTACCGCTACCCCAACTATTCCCATCCACCCAAATTTGTGTCCTTTTTGAAGACATCTATCAAGATCAACTTGTGCTTCCAAAATATTCTTGGATACGTGCCCTACCACTGGAGTGTAGTCAACCTACCAGGGGAAGAAAACTCTTGGAGAAAACTCTCCCTCTCTCAGCAGCTGACAATTTTGCCAATAACTTCGGGGTGTTGCTTATACATCAGGGGCCACCTGGGCTAGTTCCTCAGAAGGGTGGCATGATCAACTCCCCTCTCAATACTGGGATTTGTTCCGGCTTGGGCTTGCTCATGTTTTGTACATACTGTCAGAGCCACTGTGAATTCATATATGCAGGTGTGTCCTGAGGACACCGCTTCCTTGTAGTCATGAAGTGCCTCTGCCCCTTACTTTTTTGCTCCCAGTTCTGCAATGATCCCTGAGCCTTGGGAAGAGGGTGTTCAGCATATATGTTCCATTTAGGGATGGGCATTTCCATTCTCTTATTTTATGCATCTTGGCCAATTGTGAGTCTGCATTAATCATCATGTACTACAAATAGAATCTTCTCTGAAAATATGGAACTCTTGACAAATTGGTGTGTCATCCTTGCACAAGGACCATGCTGATTTTCTCTGTATTCCAATTTTTTAGTATATGTATTGCTGAGGGGAGTATTGGCATGTCTTTCTACAACTCCTTGGCTCTTAGAGTCAAGCTTCAGTGTCCAGCTGTCCTGTCTGCACAGAAGGTTTTTGCTAAGTGAAGACACAAGGAAGTGGTACAGGATAGCCCAGCCCCTCTGTCACAAGCCATGCTTCGTGAACATTTCTTGGAAGGTGTCCTGGGACCCCTGAACCATGGGTAGCAGGCCCTCTGGGACAGCACTGTGCTTGGATTATAGCCTAGGGCTGTAGGGAGAGACCTAGGCACCTGTGCTGCTGACCACACCCGTTTTGGGTGTGGCTACAGATGTGTATGGGCATGTGGAATAAAGGGCTGAGGAGAGAAGCACTCCGTCTATTTTCGGGGTTCTGGCCAGGTCTCGAAGGTTGCAGAGACTAACCTGGGTTTTCGGTTTCTTGTGTAAGTATTTTCTCACAATAAATAACCAGCAATACCCTTGTTACAAGTACTGTTACTTTTCCTTAACACAGGGCTTAGCCTGTTCTGTATGCTGTCTTCATAAGGTGTTGCACTGGCAGCATTTGCCTTCCCTCAGGGCTGGCTGGAGGAAGGCCCGTCACCAGTGACCTCGGCTCTACTGCACTGTGTGTGGATGAGGCTCCAGCTGTGGCTCTGGCTCTCCGGTCCTTCAGCTGTACGGAGGGTGGTGGAATGCAAAGCTGCTCCCCTGTGGCCTCTGGGACACTGTGGCTGACCTTATTTTAGCCACGAAGAGTCAGTAGCTGCTGGTACTCCCAATAATTCTGATCAATACAGCAGCTGATGCTTGATGTTTGGTTAGTTTACCTGAACAGAGGTCTACAATTCTGACTCACGTTTCTTTGAGGTTTAATGGTTCTGGAAGTTAACAGCACCCTCTCTGGGTTGTTAACCCTAGGACCCCTTCCTCTTTTGGTCTCCATTTCTGTTCTCCAGTCACACTTGGCCTGGCTGGGAAGGTTTCCTGGTGCTCTGCCTTGATTCCAGTTACAGAGATTCTATGAGCATTAGGACATAATGGTGTTTGTGGAATTTTGGGACAGGGTCTCATGTAGCCTTGAACTCAGTCTTCTGCCCATGCTGATGTTGATTTTTTTTTTGTCTTCTTTGCCTCCACCTGCAAAGTGCTGGGATTACAGGTCTGCTCCACTATACCTGGCACATGAAGGCTACCAGCATGGAGTTAAGGCTGACAGCTCCTCATTATCTTGATGCAAAACACAACTCCTGAGTCTGAGGGTATAAGAGGTAGTCTATTCTGAAGCCAAATATGAGTGAGTGATCATGGCCAGGGACACAGATTTATGTCACCCCAAATTCCACATTCGAACATGCTAACAGCTTGATGATGTTTTTCGTAGTAATGGACAAAGAAAGTCATAAACTAAGGCACATTTCAAATACATTGGTGGAAAAATTGAGCAGGTGTGTTGAACCAAAGCAGGGTACTCTCTGCTCTAGGCCTTAGGCGCTGAATGATGAATCTTAGTCTTGTTAACTGCTGTAAAATGCATTCCAAAAGGCTTCATGTTAGTAACAGGATGCTAAGTCAGACATAGAGATGGGTAAGGAATGGCTTGCATGACAGCTGCTAAAGATAACCCATGACAAATTGTAATTAGACTCTGGACCTGCAACATTCCAGCCTTTTCTCATTTACATGACAATTGGTTCATCAGCCTGGCAGAAGGTTTGGTGGAGGATATAACTTCGGAGAAACTTTGCTCACTCTGCTTACTGAATGCCATGGTCTTCAGCAGCCAGGACAGCCAGGAGATACGCTGCTTAACTGCCACCTCCTACACTTGGGGCTCCATGGCTGTCATAAGATTTCCCTGCTCTGAGACCTTGCCACTTCTAAACTCAGGCCATAACAGGTTAGTGGTGCTAAGGAGCAAAGTGACTTCTGAAGTCCCGGGAAGCCTGGGAAAGCTGGTCACGCCACCTAGATGAAGGCATCCAAGCGTTGACCCTCATATTTGGCACTGTGGATCTCTTAATCTGTCTCTCTCTTCATGCCCTCCCCCACCCTCAAGGGTTCACAGCAGGACCTGCCCCATTACCAGCACAAGCATCTTGAGTAAAGACCTCGGAGTTGCTTGCTGTAGACTTGGGGAAGGTCACAGAAGGAAATTACAGATTGGGCCCTGACACTATCCAACCCTGGTCAGTGAAAAACAGGCTACAGAAGTCAGGGGGTCCATTTTATTTCTATTTTTGGTGGTTCCCTTGGTCAGATGTAAGCACTGGCAACTTGGTTTGAGGCCTGCTGGGAGACCATGAGACTTTTAAACCTCTAACACTGAGAATAAATTTGGTATTATAGCTGTAGTGTCAGGTTGGCTGTGGTTGTGACCTGGTATCCTGGGAAGAGGGAAGAAAAAGACACAACTGAGGTCAGGTGTGTCATATTCTTCACAGGGACCAGGAAGAAAAAGGAACAACTGAGGTCAGGTGTGTCATGTTCTTAACAGGGACCAGGAACACAAAACTTGCTAATTATCCGTTTTCTTCAATGATGGAACCATTTTTTTCTGCAGTCAGTAATCAAGGAGCAGGTAGATGGTGTGACCTTTGGGCAGGGCCAGTCAGACAAATCTACAGAGACTGAAGGAGGATTGAAGAGAGGAAAAAAAAGCCAAACAGGAATCTGTTTACCCTTTAAGCCAGGTATTTCACTGTTTCAGAGCCTTTATTAAAATGCTTCTCTCAGAGGAATCACGTGGCTTTTCTGGGCTTGAATACTCAGACTTTGTGTCTAAAGGTCAGTCAGCAAAGAGCTCAAATCCGATGGTAAAGAGCAGAGGGGGTGGCAAGGCCCCACTGAGCAGAAAGAAGCAGTACAGTGCTTCCCCCATTTGGAATCCCAGCTTCAGCACCCGGTTAATGCAAGAAGAGAATTCTGCTTTATGCATTTCAAAATTAACACAACAGTCCAGCCTCTCTTTGGAAACAAATGCCAAATATAGCATTCATATGTCTAGTCATATAGGAGAAATGGATTGGACCAGACTTGTGGATGTAATACCTATCCACCCACCCATCCATCCACATACTGGTCTATCCACATACTCATCCATCAACACACCTATCAAGCTATCTGCCTGCCCACCCACCCTTATCTACCCACCTACAAACCCAACCATCTACCCATCATCCCTCTAGTCACAATCTACCCAACCATCCACATATCTATTTACTCACCCCTATGTCCATCTATTCCTCTATCTGTCTACTCATCAGTCCACCACATTCACCCATCCATCGTCCTACCCACCCACTCATTCATCCCCCATATCTATCTATCAATCTATCTATCTATCTATCTATCTATGTATATATATATATATACACATGTCACATATCGTAAGTCACATATGTACATACATAAACATATCTCAGTGTCACAGGCCTATTCAAGACGCCATTGGAAGTGAATGAAAACAAATCAGCATCTGCTCCCAGCTAAACATGGAAGGTTAAAGCTTATGCAAACTGAAACTTGCTAGAGAAGCCTGAGGAGAATTGTGAGGTCGAGGAGGATGGACTATGGGCCAGAACCTCAAAGCCTAGGTCAGTCTGACTTCTAGAGGAGACATCCAAAGGAAAATGGGCTGAGGTAGAGTTCAGACAGTGGTGGGTGGGGTTGGAAAGATTTTTTTCAAATGGAGGGAACAAGTGGGTGGTACAAGACAAGGAGAGTGTGAAGCCTGGGTCAGCACCATTGAGCTTTGCAGTCTCAGGCCTCAGACTCTCAGTCTGGAGACTTGATTTCTTCAGCACCTAGAAGCCAGATCCGGAGGCTCCCTGGGCTTCTGTGATGATTATCCAACAATACAGGTCTATTTATCATGGAGATGGTGAAGACTTGAACAATTTGGAAAATTCCCATAATAATGACATAGGTTGCCGGGCGTTGGTGGCACACGCCTTTAATTCCAGCACTCGGGAGGCAGAGGCAGGCAGATCTCTGTGAGTTCGAGGCCAGCCTGGTCTCCAGAGTTCCAGGACAGCCTCCAAAAACAATACAGAGAAACCCTGTCTCGAAAAACCAAAAAAGAAAAAAAAAGAATGACATAGGTTATTTGGAAATCAATATGGTTGTTTCTCAAAAAACTGGCAATTGATCTACCATAAGACCCAGCTCTACCACTCTTGGGCATATGCCCAAAGGATGCTCAGTCACACCACAAGGACACTTGCTCAACTATGTTCATAGCAGTTTTATTTGTAATAGTCAGAACCTGGAAACAATCTAGGTGCCCCTCAACTGAGGAATGGTTAAAGAAAATGTGGTACATTTATGCAATGGAGTATTATTCAGCTGTTAAAAACAATGACATCATGAAATTTGAAGGCAAATGGATGGAACTAGAAAAAAAATCCTAAATGAGGTAACTCAGACCCAGAAAGACAAAACTAGTATGTATTCAATTACTAACTGTAAAATAAAGGATAACTATACTATAATCTACAGACCCAGAGAGACTATGCAACAAGGAAGGCTCAAGGGGGATGCCTGGATCTCCCTGGGAAGGGGAAAGAGAAGAGATTTTGTGAGTGGACAGGGGTGGGTGGGAATGGAAACATGAGACATCAGGTTGGGGATGAAGGGGGAGAGTACCAAAAGAGACACTGGAAAAGGGGGGGCATTTCAGGGCCAGATAAAAACCTGGTGTAAAGGAATCTCCCAGGAATTTACAAGGATGACCCCAACTAAGACTCCTAATAAGAGGGGATACATAGCTTGAACTGGCTATCTCCTGTGACCAGGGAAGACTTCACATGGAGGGAGTGGGAAATCAACCCAGCCACATAATCTTCTATCTACAGTCTGTCCCGCCTACGGGATGTGCTGAGGTAAGGGTGACCTAGAGATTGAGGGAGCGGCCTAAAACCCATGGCAGGAGAGTAATCAAACCCCTGACACTGCCGAGAGCCCAGGACCCATAGGCTGGATGACCCAGAGATAGAACCAAACACTACTTGAGGGAAGAATGTCAATGTAATGA